GGGAAATAGGAATGACGCGGCCCCCACCTCCTTTTGCAAAGGGGGTTGTTAGGAATAGAAATCACCTAACCGTTATTTGGGTTGGAAATATATAAACTAGGATAGACATTTTAATACTGTGTCTTTAAGAGAATGCTAAAAACCATAATTGGGTGTGGTTTCGCAAATGGCCATAAGATGGAGCCAGAAACCTGGGTTGTTTTAGTCTCGGTCTCAGTGAGTATCTGTTTCCTTCTGTTGGAGAGTGTTCCCGTTCCTCCTAATGACTGTTACCGACCGTTGATGTAAAGTCTGTTACTGAACTGTTTTTTTTTTGATACTGGACTTTGATATTTCGATTATCCCTGGACTGAAAACTGACTGATTTAACCGCGAATGACTTGGACTGTGTTTGAACTTTGCTTAAAGGTTTATTGAAAGTAAAAAAAAACCTACATTTACTGTACAGTGTGTCTGTGTGTATTATTCAAACACCACTCTCAATACGTCTCCCTGTATGCGCTCATTCTCCTCACGGGGAATTACCTCAACAAGGGTGAAAAAAAAATTACATTTTATAACAGAAAATGCTAGAAGAAGGAAGACAGGGGTGGTGAGCGAGTGCAGAAAATCCCAGCTCAACGAATCTTTTTTTCTTTCACGCATTTTAGAAACAGAAGTCAATTCATGTTTTTAATGAACTGCGTCATGTGTCTCTCATACAGGAGCTCAAGATGACATTTGTGCTCCGGTCTGTTGTCAAGACTACAAGTAGTCCTCGACTTATGACCGCAATGGTGCCTAAAATTCTGGTCGGTAAGCAAGACGGTGAAGTGAGTTTTGCCCCATTTATTACTTTTTTTTTTTGCCAGTTAAGCAAATCACTGCGGTTGTTAAGGGAATAACACCATCGTTAAGCAAATCTGGCTTCCTCCGTTGACCCTGCTTGTTGAAAGCTGGGTGGGAAGGTTGCAAGTGGTTATCGCATGATCCCAGGACGCTGCAACAGTCAAAAGTACATGCCAGTTTCAAAGCACCCAAACTTTGATCACGTGACCATAGGAATGCTACAAACCAATAATTGTATTGGGTGTGAGAGGGGCGCAGCAAATGTAACTTTCAGGATTGATTGTAAATAACTATATATTTCTGTGCAGTTCCTGATGCTCTGAGTTGGTTTCCTTGCAGACATTTCGTGACCCAACTAGATAACCCAGCTAGAACCAGTTTGACCCACTGGTTAAGACACCAACTTACAGAACAGCAGATGGGGAGTTCTAGTCCCGCCTTAGGCATGAAAGCCAACTGGGTGACTTTGGGCCAAGCCCCAGGAGACGGTGAGTTCTAGTTCCACCTTAGGCATGAAAGCAGGTTGGGAGACTTTGCACAGCCCAACCTACCTGCAGGGTTGTTGGGGAAAATAGTAGAAGGCAGGAGTTAATTGGATAAGTTTTCCAGCTTGCGTTGTTTATATAGGTATAAAAATAGCAGAAGGGGCATATAAAATAAACCCATTTTCTGCGTTTCTCCCATACCTCCACCTGAACCAACTTGGTTGAAGCCCAAACCACCTCCATGAGATGGAGAACATCACTGAGCAAACAGTGTTTAAGTCACACAAGGCGGCACATTTGCAGCACTCTCTACCTGGGATAAAAACTGTGTTAAATTGTGTGATTTGCACCAAGACCAGCAGATCTCCAAGGTCCCTTTCCAACAATTATTCCATTATATCCTCTGGGCTTCTACAAATATTGTCTTTTTCCACGGGCCTTTCCAAAGACTGCTGCGTTTTTTCAATTCTTTAGGGGACAAAAAAAAAACCCTTTCTGGGTTTGCCTGGGAGAAGAAGAATGTACAGTTAGTCCTCGACTTATGACAGTTTGTTTAGTGATGGCGGTTCAAAGTTAAGACGGCACTGAAAAATGTGGCTTCGAGGCATACCTCTATTCGAAGAGGAGGCAGGCGTTTAGCCTTTGACATGTCGTCCTTGACTTACAACCGTTCATTTCGTGACTTCAAACAGCACCCCAAAAAGTGACTTACGACTGTTTTTCACACTTACGACCGTTTTTTCACTCTTACAACCATTTTTCACACTGACGACTGTTGCAGCACCCCCGTGGTCACGTGATCCCAATTGGCATGTACTTATGACAATTGCAGCATCCCAGGGTCACACGATCCCCTTTTTAAACCTTCCAACCAGCAGTCTCTGGGGGAGCCGGATTCACTTAATGACCGCATTGCTCAGTTTAATGACCGCGGTGTTTCTCTTTTAACAATCGTGGCCAAAAAGAAAAAGAAAAAAAAAGATTGCAAAATTGGGTGGGACTCACTTCACAAACTGCTTTGCTTAGCGGTGGAAATTCTGGTCACGACGGAGGCCGTAATTCAAGGATTTACGCGTGTTTTTAGAGAATGCAGGTGAGCCTATAAATACACGAGGAGACCAGCCGGAAGGTGGTGGTGCAGGAAAGAGTGAAAAACGGTCATAAGTCACTTTTTTGTCAGCGGCATTATAACTTGGACGGTTGCAAGTCAAGGACTATAGTCTGATTGGGACTATATAGAAAATGGATTCATGAAATGGATTCACATGCCTTCGGGCAAACCCCCCAACCCGCCCCTTAATTAAGGAGTGTTTCAGCCTATTAGTTCCTTGGGCCACTACATTTCCACTTGGATTATTGCTACCAACTAATCAATCCTTAGCGACGTGGTGGCTCAGTAGCTAAGACGCTGAGCTTGTCGATCAGAAAGGTCGGCGGTTCGAATCCCTAGCGCCGCGTCACGGAGGGAGCGCCCGTTCCTTGTCCCAGCTTCTGCCAACCTAGCAGTTCGAAAGCATGTAAAAAATGCACGTAGAAAAATAGGGACCCCTTTGGTGGGAAGGGAACAGCGTTCCGTACGCCTTATCTGTGTTTAGCCGCGCTGGCCGGATGACCATGGAGAGACGTCTTTGGACAGCGCTGGCTCTTCAGCTTTGTAACGGCGATGAGCACTGCCCGCTAGAGCCGGAAACGACTAGCACGGATGTGAGAGGTGAACCGTTACTTTTACCTCATCATTCCTTCTGAAAAGCATAAAACTTATTTCCCCAGCATTGTTGTTAACTTGCACCAAGACACATTTTGGAAAGGGTTTTGCCCCCGACTCTGCCCTCTGCCCAACCCGACTCCGATGCCCCCTGGCTCTGTTTTGGGTTAGAAAAAGGGGACAGAGACTGTTGTCCTATGGTCAGTTTGAATTTTTTCCGTTGTTGTTTTTTTTTTAATGCACACATTACAATAATTTACAGAATTCGCCATGGGCTCCCATTAGCTGAGACCAAAAAAAAGAAAGAAAGAAAGAAAGAAAAAACCCCAATGACATCCTTTTCCAAACCATCCAGCCGTGTCTTAAGACAAGAGTAAGGGGAAAACCTGGTTTGGATTGGAAATCCCTGGTTTAAAAGCAAAAAGTTATTTTTCCTCCCCAGCTCGTGACCCACAGGAAAGAGAAGCCATGGGGAGACCAGATTTAGGGAGAAAACCTGCAAGCAAGGAAAACTATTGGGAGGAAAAACCAAAAAAAAAGAGGCAGTTTAGGGATTTTTTTTTGAAGACGGGAGGACTAATCCCCAAAGCAGTTGGGTCAAAAAACAGGCGGGTTCTGGTTAGACAGACAGATAGATAGACAGTCCGCCCTAGTCCCCCCTCCTTCGCGAATTTCCCTAGAGCCCCCCCCCAGCCCCCCAAAAAAGAATGAACTCAAAGGCCAGACCCGAAGGCCAAAGGCCCCGCTGGAGAATTAATAGAAAGATTAATCTTTGCATGTCGCACCGAGATGCAAAACTGCACCCACGGAGCCCTGCCTGGCGTCGTATCGTGTCCCAAAACTTTTGGGGAGAAGGAGGTTAGAAAGGAAAAAAAAACAAGAGACCGGGAAGGAAGGAAGGAAGGAAGGAAGGAAGGAAGGAAGGAAGGAAGGAAGGAAGGAAGGAAGGAAGGAAAAGATGGATGGAAGGAAAGGAAGGAAGGAAGGAAGGAAAAGATAGATGGAAGGAAAGGAAAGGAAAGGAAGGGAGGGAGGGAGGGAGGGAGGGAGGGAGGAAGGAAGGAAGGAAGG